AAACAGTCTCTTCGAGATATAATGCATATCTCGAAGAACTATTTCCAGCAATTCCAGCTGGAAACAGTTATGAAACTCGGATTTTGGTATGGCCCTTAGAGTCCTCGCCACATATTTTTGTATGGCTTGCATGTCTTCGAAAGTTCTCTCTTCAGTTTTCAGTTTCGAGAAAACGAAAAAGTCAGAGCTAAATCTGGAGAATACAGAGAATGTTCGGCGAATGGGATGTTGTGTTTGGCCAAATACTGATTCATAGACAGTGCTTTATGACAAAGCGCGATGTCGCGTTGAAAAACCCGTGGTTTGGACTGCTACTTTTGTGACTTTTTTCAGCAGTTTGTAAACTTCTGTGGCCGTTTTTCCTAATTTCATACAAAATTTGAACGTGCCACATTGCTCCATAAGTCCGACATTTTGGAGTGAGACGCTGGCACCACAGATGGTCTCCTTTCTTCCCGCCTCTCTGCATCATACGCGAGCTACTGAAACAACTGGTATACAAACGTCCTAATGTCTACACTATCACTGGATACCTCTACCCGCTAACACTAGTTATTATTCTTGGAACTTATTGATTACACCTTGTATATTCTAGATTTATCAAATTCATTAACTTCACAGTGTTTAAAACTTGCAAAGCTTTTTTCTCCAGGGTCGTTTTAAACACTTTAGAGAACCCAATCCAATTTCTTTAGATGATACAGACATGTATTACTAATATATTTAATCCGTGAGATAGAGCGAAGCTCCCGGCCATGGCAGAGTACATTCCTGCTCTAATGCGGCCCTAATTTTTAACTTAAGATAGAATTTTAGCTGAATATAGTGAATTTATCTTACATAAAAATAACAAAAATAAAAGGAAAGAAAACTTTTTCAAAGCAATTTTTAAAATGTTTAGAACTCAACGCGATCACCCAGTTGGTCAGATTCGAACCCGCCTATCCACACCACCACTGGTAGGCAACTATTGTTCAAAAATAATAATTAAACGTATTATCAGCCATTTAAAAAAGTGTTTTAATGCAGATAAAGTTATAGATTAAATTTAATTTTAAAAATAGTTCTTTAATGTAATATCATCGTTAAAATTATGGAGATGTGTCCTCACTGCAAAATTGTTCTGAAAAAAACATACTTGTGGTTGGTTTTAAGATGTAATCGTTCTTTAACAAAAATCTGTTAATATTTATTCATAATTTACAGTTTTTGTAAAAGAACAAATTTTTACAATGCAAAACTATTTACAATTTTATTCTTTGTAGAAGCAAAATTCATTCTAGATAGTTATATTTTAGTTCTATTTCTTTTATCGCATGAAAGAAATAAGACGAAAGTACACTTTTTGTTAGCTTAAACTCTTACCATTGGTAACATTTATCAAGTTTCTTCTAATTTTTAGTTTTTTAATTTATAAAATTTAAATAGCTGAAGTATAACTGAGCAAATTGAAATATTGTGATATAAGAATACAAATACATCAAAGATTATATCATCTCCTTAGGATGAAATGCTGTTCAGATTTTGATTCAAGATCTATTAGTATTAAGAATTTACCCATAAAGAGAATAAAAAATATTTTTTTGAGTTTTTATTTTATTTGATAAACAATATGTTTGAAAAAAAGACAGCTATATTATGTACTGTACAGTATTGGTAATAACTTAGGTAATATTATGCTCAAATAAAATAGTTGAAAGCTACATAATCTACATAACATATAAAAACTAGCTATATGATATGTTCATCAACACACCTTTATATTTAAACTTTATAAAAATAAAATAACAAATAAAACTCACTTATTAATAAATTTGACTTCATACAACAACTTTTCTAATTATAATTTTAGAAAAGATATCGTTAAATTTCAGTTATTACAAATAATAACATTTTAGTTGTAAAAATAATTCTCAGAAATTATCCAAGACTAAATTACAATTGAAAATGATTATTAACAGGAATATGTACACATTGTATTATATGTATTTTCAATTTCCACTGGATTTTTCATTTACTTTTTTAGAGATAAACAAGAATAATAATTGGATTTGCTGAAGTAACATTCCGGAAATAGAAATTGTATTTTAAGGATTGCATACAATCTTTATTAATGTGAATACTGTAAAGTCTTCCACTAAAAGACAACAGAATCTCACTGTAACATATAACATGAATAATTTCTCCTTTTTAATGTTAAAAATTATCTTGCTATTATCTTTATAAATTTTTTAACAACTATTTTATAAATTTTTCAATTTGCACTGAAGACAAAATATTAAGAAATCAAAACTTCTAAATTCAAAACTAACAAAACAGATAAGTATGATTAAGAAGAAAATATCACATAAGTGAAATAGTTTAGTATATTAATAAATTAAAGTAATAGTAATACCATAATAGATTAGTATAGACTATTTTGAAAAAATTACAATACAGTATTTTTGTATTCTGTATTTCATACTTTTTAATTTGTTTTTACTATTTATACTAACAAATCTAATTTATGTTTTGGATCAGCAAAGGCAAACTTTTCTAATAGTGTATACTAAAATATGCAAATTTAATTTTTAACAAGTAAAACAGCAAAGCCATTTTTGGGTCGAGACTATGTCTCAGAGAGCGCAAGCAACGCATGCATAAATCTCGCACTCACGCCTGTTTATAGAAACAGTCTCATCATTTTGTAATTTTTTTTGACCCGGTTCTCAGTCCCATGACTACCTGCAAGTCTGGTTTATTTTATGTGAGCCTGATTTGGGCACCAAATACTCTGTGCCAAATTGCAACTCCTGACATGTATGCCTTCATACTGCTACAATGTGCAGACATTGACAGCGATGCTATTTTTAGAGACGAGACATAGTCTCATCAAAAATATTTATGACTAAAGCATTAACTTATCCACATTAATTTAATTTAACTATAACAAAAATATAATTTATACACGTTAAAACCAAATTAAACACAATTTTTTTTGTGTCATTTCACTGCTGCTAATATAAATTTTTCTTGCCTTTTTTTTTAATATCTCATCTACAGTATTATATAATATTTCCTTGTTGTAATAATTTTTTAAATGTAGCATAATATAATGAATTATCAGCCATAATATTCCAGAAGAATATATCACAGACTAAAATTTTTGTTTTAAAATAAATTTAAATAAATCACACTGCATTTAGAATTCTGTTTGTTCATTTTAAATTTTGAAAATTTACCTAAACATTTAACGCTATATCATCACAACTTTTCTTTTTTACATTTAATTTACTAAAATATTATAAATAAATATCATCACTTAATTTAAAACTAGAATAGTGGCATGACTGTTTGCTTAATGATGATATACAATTTGAACTTCCATTTTATTATTATAAAATGATAATTTTCAAAACAAAATTTCTAATTCTTGCATAAAATCAAGATGTAAAAAAATTAAAATTTATCAAATTGTATTATATTTAAATAATAATTATATTTATGTTCTCAATACTTAATAATAATTATTATAATTATAGTTAATTTTCATATTAATTATTATTTTTAATTAATTAAGTTACTTAACATAATATACCACTTTATTACTGAGAATAGCATCACAGCATTAATGACCTAAATAACAAATCATAAAATTTTATATTTCTGAACTACAAATATTCTATTTTTATATTTCTTCAGTCATAATTTACTTATTGTTTAAAATATTTGTTTTAATTAAATCCTTGAAGATTTTTTCAATTGTTTCAAATAAATATTTTGTATCATTATTTCCTATTATCAATTAATTTCAACATAAAATAGTAAGAAATCTTTAATCTGTTTTGTTAAAATTATATATTTCTTATCTAATTTTTAAAATTTTCAAGACATCTCATCTATTTTAGAGTAAAATTAATTAACACTAAAAAAATAACTAATTGATAGAATACAAGGAATTAAAATTATCAATTGATTAATCACTTTTTAACCTTGATTCTTAATTAATTGTTCTTTAGAAGCTTCTGATAGCATTATAACGTTGAAATAAAAATAATAATACTCTAAATATGCATTGAGCTTTATCATGCAATTTCATATTACAAGAATATATTTTTATTAAGGTAATTTAAAGATATCTAAATATTTAATTAATATCAACTATATACCTATATATAAAACTGAACCAAACAAATATACTGTATAACTTCATCTAAAACCAATGATAATGATAAATTCCAATATAATTAATAATTTTATTTGTTTATATTCATTTTATATATAAATGAATATGTTACTATATAGTTATACTCATTAAATATTTATGGTTTTCTTCAATAATACATTTCTTTAGTTCCACATTTCATATCTCAGAGCAATTATCTTTTTAATATAAAATTTTAAAATAATTTTTAAATAAAATATCTACAGTAAATTATTTTTTAAACAGAAAAGCATAGTTTTAATAAACAATATAATAGTGAATACAGCAAAATATAAAGAAAAGAAATTAATAAATATACATTTTAATTTCTAAATTAAACTTTATTATAATAGTATTTATAAATCTTTTTTTCATTCTGAAATAAACATTTTAGCTTATAATAATGTCTAAACCCGTTCAAACATTAAATCAAACTTGAGATTGTAAGCATGCCTTTTCATTTGGACACACAGCATGACTAATCTACCACATACTGAATACAAATAGCTAAATCATGTTCACTTTGTTATTTAAAAAAAACAATATTTCCTTTGGTTTAACTTTATAAGTATAAATTGTAATCTAGAACTTATGAAAATAATGTGTTTTTAATAAAATATTTACTATAAAATTATTTATATTCTAAAGAGTTTAAAAATATTATTGAGTTAATTAATTATTCACAAAATTTAAGTAATGTTTAATGTTTAAAATTATTAAATTAAATAGAAACTATTCATTTTAATACAATTACATTTGTTACTTATTCAGAATTATTATTTAATTATTATGCATTTTATATTCCAGAAACTCTCACCTGGAGATAGAGGAAAACAGAAATTCTCCCTGGTAAAATGAAAATTAGCATAAGGACTACGGGGAAGAAGAAGACTAGTATGACGAGTATGTCTATTTTCTGAAAAGGTGTTAAAAGACAGGAAATCCTCAATATTAAATAATTATATATAAAGGTTATTGAAGAGAATTCAGTATTTGTTAACTACTACAATTTAATCTAAAATTTTGTTAATACTAATATTTATGAAAATTAATTGTTAATAATTAAAAACTTCCACAAATTAATTAATTCTACATTATTAAAAGAAAATATTGTATTTTATTATAAATACTACAGAAAATGCTCACTCCAAATATTTAGAAATGGCTTTGTGATATATATCACAAAACAAATGAAACAATTACAAAATTAATCCAATATCTTAAAATTTATTCTAAAAATCTAACTTCAAATAAAGTATGAATTAAATAAAATCTAATATAAATCATTTTAAATCCAATATTACTATTAAATATTTATATGATTCGTACTTATTAATGTTTGTATAATTTATATATTATTTGATTTAAAGTTTAGAAACCTATTCAGATCTAATTCTACAAATTTCTTACATTATTTTACATATATATGTATATATATATAACTGCTGAGAAACTGATATATAATTACATCAGTTACCAGTATTTGTAAATTCTATTGTAAGTGATTTTTACTGAATTATTTTATATAAACATATGTATAATATTTCTTCATCTATCTATACTCATATCAAAGAAATTCTATAAATTCGACACAAAATAATCATAAAAATTTAAAGTTGATATTTTGTCAAAACATATTTATTAAAGTGGACATTTTGTCATATATTCAGATATTTGAATTTTTTTATGATTATAGTTTAATCAGATAACTAGAAACATTTTCAGGAAATAAAATAATCATATTTTTTCATGAAATACAGTAACCTGATTCTCAAATTATGTAAATAAATTTAATCCCATAAATTCTGCATTTGTGTAGAATTTGTAATTATAAATAACTAAACAATCATACTAACAACTATAAAAATACTGTCTGTCTTGTGTAATGAAATAATTTTTTACTTATAAATATAATTTTATAAAAGTGTATAAACAACAATAAATATGTAAATAATAATCACCAAGTTCTTTTAATGAATATGTTTTAAAATATATTTTTACATAAAAGTAATAAAAAAATAAGCACTTCAAATCAAACCTTTTTACAAAGTTTGATCTGAAGTGGCTTACATTTATCTATGGCCTATTTTCAGAAACAAATGCAGGGGGAAAAAAAACAAATTTTTTGGCATATGTCCTTGTGGATGTCAATGATATTTGGTACATTTTGCCCCAAGTGGGTCTGACTGAATCTGTAATAGGTAGCAAATAGGCACTCTTAGTGCGTACATGGAGGAAAGGGTTTAAAGACCAAAAAATGTTTTATTTTTATTTTTTTAAGCTATTTACAGTAAAATTCAATAAATGTGGTTTATGGTATACTACAATACAGAATTAATGTTACTATATTTCATTGTAAATCCTGACACGGCACTTTTTTTCACTGTGGGTCAACTCAGAACCAGAGGCATTACTGGTATGTTCTCATTTGGAAAAAGATTCTTCATTGTTCCCATTATCTTCATCACCTGAATCATCTTTCCACAAAGCATTTTCTTCACTTCTGCCCAAGGCATTGTTAATTGAGCATTTCTTGACCAACTACAGATTCATTCACTTGATCTCATACAGTTTTGATCCACCTTGCAATAATTAAGACAGAGACCTCCTGAATTTTTCCTGGAGTATATGATGTGTCTCTTCCAGCCACATCTCATACTCCTTTGTCACATTGATGATTTATTAATACTAATGTCGAGTGGCTGAAACAACAGTGCCAATCCCTGGGATCATTGCTAGTTTGGTCTTTTGCTTGGTCAAACTTCTTTTTTTCTTTGTCAGTAATGTGCCCTCTGAATACACATAACACAAGTATTGCTGGAAGCCCAAGGCAAGATCCAGGATGGCAGCCAATCTACCATCAATTGTTCTGTCATCAATATCTTCTCTTGCACTCAGATGACTCCTGATAGGAATCTGTCTGTCTTTTTCCTTTGGTACATTTTTCCTCTGAATATAAAATACAGAATTAACTTCTGTTTTTCTGTTGTCATGGCTAGCATGACTGTGATCTAATGTTTCTCATAATCAGTAGTCTTTATTCTGATTTCTTTTTTGCCAGTGTCATTTACTGTAAAATTCCTTGGCATATTGAACCAAGTTGGAGTGTCATTGGTATTGCCAATCTGTCCCATCAAAAAGTTCCTTTCTCAAAGATCAATCGTGTATCTCTGGAAATCCACAAGCTTACTCTCAAAGTCTGCTGGAAGTTTTTGTGCAATGGAATTGTATTGTCTTAGTGAAATTTTTGTCACTTCATCAATTTGTCTACCCAACTTCTGCTTGGTATTTTACAGGAAATACCCATAGGTTAGACAACTTCATGTGATTTAAGGCTAATTCTGACACTTGTCACACACAAACCATCATTATGCATTTGCCAAACTTGCTCTGTCACTCCTTCCTCCAGACCTGGATGACAGACTTTTTTTGGCTTTATAATTTGATTTAGATTTCAATAATGCCAGCTTTGACTTCCTCTATCCATAAATTTGACTTTCATCAAATCCAAATTGTTGTATAGCTGTCCTCTTTCCAATTTTTTCCACAGCAAATATGATTTTTTTCTTGTATTTAGCCATGTAAGAAAAACACATTTGTTTTCTGCTAAATCTATCTAAGAGTTGAAAAAATTAAAATGTGGGAATTTGCATTTGATGGCACCATTACATCTAGACTGCAAAAGTAATCACAAGTACACCATATTCAGGTACAGTTTATAATAGTCTACTTTTATACACACTATTTTTCTGAAAGCATGGTCTAAAAGCAACCATGTAAGTTATATACAGTAAAAACTTACTTTTGTGTAAATACAGTATTATAAAAAAATTTTTACATCTAAAATATTTGACATTGGGATTTAAATTCAGAAATTTGACTAAGATCAACAGAATCAGATTGCTTAGAATGAATTGTTAATTTATGCAATTAACAGGTGTAATAATTTCTATAATAGAAATGTTAATTTAATGTCCAATAATACTGGTCCCATTGATATTGATAGTGACATTATTGAAGAATGTCTTAATAGAAATAAATTTATACAATAGGAACAATCTTTATTTAAAGATATTGTCAATACTATGGGTTCTTAAGATGAACAATCTTCATTTAAAGATGAAGATTTATCAGAAAAAGAATTCAGGAAGCTCAGTCTGGTCTTAGTTTACAAATGTTTTTTGTTTACAGTGGTCTTCTAGTGGTCTTTGCACTATATATGTTTCTGTATGCGTGTTGGTGTGTATCACATACACCAATGTACTGGTACATTACATGTTACACTGAATCCAGGAATGCTGCTCATTTCACAAAATAGCAAAAATTTGCATAATTTATTAAATCCGCACATAAACTGCTAATTTCATAAATTAGGCAAATTTTCTGTTGAATTCACAAAATAAGCTAATTTTGAATAGTTTATTTCGTGAAATTTGCATTTTATATTTTCCAGTAAGATAGCAATATTTATTTTGCTCTTTAAATTATGAGTTAGAAAATGTTAGGCAAGGATTTATTATTATTATTTAATTAATGATATTTTATAACTTATTTCTTAATGAAGTTTGTCTATATAAAGAAATTTACATATTTTAGGTCACATTAAACCATTCAATATCATTCCATTTTTATATATTAATTCATATTTCCAGATTTGATAGCAAAATAACAAAGTAGAATTATAATATAGTTTAAACAGTTTCAATCAATGCTATTTTATTGCTTTTTAATTTTATATTAATGTAAAAAAGTAATGAGTTTACAATGATTGCATCTAATGTCTTAACAAATCAAACTGCTCTTCAAAAACTGCTTTGTAATATTCAATGAAAGATTTGTAAAGCTCATCTTTCATTGAACAGAATATTGTATGACAAAAAATACCACAAGAGACACTGGTGCACAAGAATACTGGTGACAAAAGTAAAATGTAATAAAATTACTTTAAAATATGAAATCAATATATATCAAAATACAAAATTTACTGAAATAATTTCAGTAAATTTTGGATATCTAAGAAGCTGTATGGAAAAAACTAAACAGCATCACAAAAGAAAATTTGTAAGGCATACAGAAATTACTAGAACTTGCAAAAATTTGTATAAATCACAGAAGAGTGTATTTTGAAGTCTGATACTAAACTGAATCATTTCTACCGAAATATTTTCTTTTAAAAATTTAGTCACCAAACTTAGCAGACCTACCTTGTATCTGTTATGGCATTTATTAGTTCTATTTAAACAAAACTAAATTTAAAATTATCAAAACAATAAAAAAGTCAATAAACAATATAAAATAGAATTATTTTTAATGTACTAAATAACATTATGCATGTATTTATATAAATAATATAAATAGATATGTATATAATATTCATTTATTTATTTATACTATTATTCATTTAAAAATTTCATGTTTTCTTTTAATGTGAAAAGAATAACAATAAAAAAACTTAAAAATAAATAAACAAATAACTATATCTAAATAGTTATGAGTTATGAGAGATATGCTATTATTAATACCACTTTAAATTTAATTCTATATTTATAAAATATTAATAGGCATTAATGATTTACCTTTTGTTTGTTGTGGAGAAGAAACACTCTCCATCTCTTCTGATTTAGTCATGGAAGTCAGAAATTTTGTATTTTCTGTTAACTGATGAGAAGATGCTAGTGGTATTACTAAAAAAATTAATTATTTTTAACTGATATTTTTCATTACACAAATTAAGTAAAAATCATTAAATTATATTTATATAAAATTCAATTAATAAGAACTGATTCCATCAAAAATACAAATATCATTTGATTATGTATTTTTGGAAAGCAGTTAAAAAACATAATAAAAAATAAATATTGTAAGAATAGAAAAGTATACTGTGGAATAAAAATACCCATAAATATCATAAATAATTTTACTCTTGAACAGGCATAATGGTAAGTAAAGTGACTTATTTTTAAGTACATATTCCAAATATAAATTACTGATAAATATTAGATCATCTAGTAAATAAATAATTTTAATTGAAAAGTTGAAGATTAAATTTATTAATATATACTCTTAAATTGTTATAAAACTCTTAAAATTACAATATATATTTTAAGATGTGTTCATATTATAAATCCTTAAAAGGAAAAAAAAATCACAATTATTATAAATAGTAGAAAAAAGAAATTAGCATAAAAATTAATTAAAAATAAAAGAAAAATTCCGTAAATAAAGACAATAAAGAAAATAAAATAAATTCTATAAAAAAACAAGTTTTAGATCACAACTTATCATTTTTAGAATCGATACACATAATTCAGTAATTCTTCATATTTTACATACAAAATGAAATAAAAATTTGCTTTTTGTCATTTACTTTCATTCATACTATTAGTTTGAATGAAATAATAATGAAATAAATCAATAAAGATTGAAATAAATTTGTAAAATTAAACTTGGCAAAATCTAAAATATCATCAAAATCTTTCAATATTTATCAATATTTTAACATATATTAGTATGTTTAGAAAAATGCTTATTAATTTGAGATTAACAGAGAATCTCTTGATATCAACTTTTCACCTAAGATTTTATTATATATGTATAAAATAACATATCATAGAATAGTGAAAAAATAATAGATATCTAAATATTTTTATTTTCTAAACTTTTATATAATAACTGAACTTTTAAATTTGTATTTTTTTCCTTTTGTTTGTAAATATGCCAAAATATCTGAATCATAAATATAGATGATCTTGCTGAGATAATTTGTTCTTGAAAAAAAAAACTCGTTAAACTTTCATGATAAGATATTTTGGCATATCTACAAAAAAAATACAAATTTAAAAATTCAGTTATTATGTAAAAGCTTGGAAAATAGAACATTTAGATATCTTGTGTCTATTATTTTTCTACTGTGTGTGGAGGGTGTGTGTTGGATGTGTGTGGGAAAGTTTGTTGTTTTTAAGAAAGGAAAGTTTGTTTTTAAAAAACAGCAGCAATCTCTATATCTACTAAAAATTCACTGCATATTTCAATGGTGATAAATATTATTTTTAACATATGGCAAAACACCTAATTATTTTAATAATCTACATTTTGCACAGTCTATTATAATTATTAAAAACAAATTTAATTTATTCTTTAAAGGAGAATAAAAATAGTGCAGTAAACTAAGATTTTCCATCAAAATTTTATGACTAACATTTTATATAAAGTAGTTTTGAAAATAATGTGCATTGTATTTCATTAAACACTGAAAATATAAGAGAGTTAACAACAGATATAAAATACATATATATTTTATACTATACACACAAAATTTAAGACTTAAATCAGATTATATTTAATTAACTGATCAGACTATCAGCCATATTTCAATTATTAAATATTGTATTTGTCTAGTATAAAAAAATATAACTATTTATATGTATAGACTATATACAAAATATATAAGCTTTTCGCCAAGAGAAAAAGCAGGAAAATGAAAAAAAAACAAGAAAAACACCCAAGCATATTAAAATTTACATAACAGAAACTTTAAATTAATAAAATATATAGAAAATGAAATAAAATGTATCTACAACTTATTGCAATTCTCATATTATATTAATATATCAAAGTTTCTCTAAAATATTAAATTATGAAGTTTTCCTTAAGTTCCAAAAAACTTATTAATAGAGTAGATAAAAATGTCTGATCAATAAGCATATCAACTATGCATTATTACAGAGAATAAAATTTCGGCTTCAAATAAATTATCTATTAAAAATTCCTATAAGATATAACGTAAGTAGAAAAATGAAGGCAATATATATGAATATTATCAAAATCCACTATTAAGAATTAGGAGCAATACAGACGTAAATAAAAATTCCGAACATCGTTAATTATACGTAATTAATCCAATGAATAACAAAGACAGGAAGTTGGAGAATGAAATTTTAAAAAATTGACCGGAACAAAAATGCATTAAGCTGAGTCATGTTATTTTAAGATAACTTAACCAAAATCTACATGATCACAAACATAGAGTTACGTTAAAATCACGATGTTAACTGGCAATGTCAAATCGACTTTTCCTTATTTTTTAAATGTTTTTATGTTGTAATGATTTTCTAAAGATTTTTGTTTACTGAAAATAATGAATTTCGAAACAAAAATTTATCTTTAGCATTAAAACATTACTTGAATTTAAATAATAAAATCATTTAGGTGGACAAAAAAAGTTAATTATTTTATATTCATGAATGAAATTAAAGCTTAAAGCTGTAGAAAGATAATTCTTCCGCACCAAGACAAAAGGCTCTAACTCAGGCATGGCCAATATACGGCCCGTCTAATGAATTTATGCGGCCCGCGATTAATCTTTCAATATTAGCTACTCAAGTCCAAATAGCTCGATGAAAAATTCTGACGCCTAAAAAAAAAAAAAAGTCAACGACTCACTGCGTTTAGAGTTAACGCTGCATTACAAATCTCTTAAGTACAGCGTAGAATGTTGATAATGCATGATAATGTGAAAAATGTATCTGTAATCTCTATGTACAATTTAGTCTCTACGGGGTGACACCACAATGAGATCTTGCACCACCTCAAAATCTTCCTAGGGCAGCCTCAGGTTCGGCCCGTGAAAAAGTTTTCTTTCCAATTCGGCCCGGGGGCAAAAACTATTGGCTACCCCTGCTCTAACTCAAAAAAAAAAAATTTAAATCAAGTTGCACACTTGGTAGCGTACCACCTCATTGGTATCCTTTGTCGATACCGCCCAATATCTAGTGAAAAACGTTCCGTGATAATTTTCAAGCTAGATATTAGACGTTATCGATAAATGATACCAATTTGGTACGCCATCGAGTGCGCAACTTATTTAAATTTTTTGGAGACAAGATAGCCTTTTGCCTTGGGGCGATAGAATTGTTTTTAACTTAATGAAATGAAGATAATATGAAGCAGCGTATTATTCCAAGATTTTAAATGTTCAACACTCATTCTGAATAATAATTTTATAAACACGATATTTTTCAATTTTAAAAGATGAAACATATAATTAAGTTTTAACCTAAACTCTTAATTAAAAGATTTCTGTTACCTTCTATTATTTTAGTAATTACACATACTTAATAATCTGTAAATATTTCGTATAATTAAAAACTCAAATACAATTACAAAATTTTTATAGTTAAATATTCCTTCCTCCAGTCTCAATGTAATGCACTAGCGATGAGAGCAGAAGAAAAAAAATGTGGATGCTAAATTAGTATTGACATAAACAAATGCAATTCGACTTAGTGCTATTTTAGGTTAAATATGATCCCCATATACAAAAACGCACGATACGACATTAGAGAGGAAATGCTGCACTAAATAATTATTGCTTTATTTATTTATATTTCGTGGAAAACTAGTACGAAAGCATTTATATTGAACGTGCTCGTTACAGAGTTTACGAAAATTAAATTTATAAAGCTTATTCTAGATTCAAATACTAATTACTAATTATAACTATGCTAATTTAAATAAAAATCTAGACGATATATTTGTCGTTTGTATTAATTATTAATTGATTTTACTAACAATTATAATATTACAATTTTTAATATAATTTTAATAAATTACATGAATTTTAACGCTTTTGGGATACTATCAACCGGTCAACATTAAAATAGAAAAGGAGATACTGGGGAAAAGTTATTTCTCAAAGCCTTTTTATATTTCGAAGGAATCTGGAGTAAGATTCTAAAAACTTTTAATATTTATATAAAAATGATTTATTTATCAAATAAATAAACATTTTTACATCAATATACATATTCATCAGACCTAGAATCACAGTGAACATATTTACAATATTATATTATTTAATATTATTGATGATTTAAGTAGCTGAAATAATTGCGTGCATGATATAATAGAAAAACAGCTGACAGATAATCTACACAGATAAAAATTTAAACTAATGAAACTACAAAAAAATAAATAACTGGTATGATGGCATTTACAGTTTGAAGTTCACCAAAATTAATCTATGCTGGATATGAAAAGCTGGAATATTTAAAATTCAGATCGATTCTACATTAGACAAAAGTGAAAAGGTCCAATTTTCACTAATTATTATTTTATTGAAAATAGCCACAAGATTCGATAATTTAGTCATTAAAAATAATGTTACCGTGGTAGATTTTATAAAAACATCTGCAGCAAATTCTTGAAAAATCATAATGTGACGATATTATTGACTATTATTCCAATAACAATATTGTCGATAATAATCAGTATGTCTAGTTGAATATAATGAACTCCTACTTTGCATTAAAACAATATTAGCAAAGTACGAAATTATTAGAGATGGATCTACATCCTAGAAATGTTGTTAAAGATTTGAAGTTGGGCTAAATGCTTAAGTTGCTCTTAAAACCTTTTGCTAAATATAAAAACAGTTATATAACATCTTTATTTTTGCAATTATTCGAAATGAGTAACATAGTGTCTAACTAAATCGAAGACATCGATATAAAGGATAAAATCGATAATGGAAATAAATGTTAGATGGAAATAACAAAAAGTACTAAAAAATATCAATTAAAAATAATTTTTTAATATCATCTTTCAAAAAGTTAGGAAATCGATAAATTAAAACACTGATTATTTTTTAACATACAAAATACTTCGACTTCAATATAATTATTCT